TCACCAATTCCGGCATTGATTGTAAGATAAAACTAGGAATGCTGAGTCAAGAATGATTCGCTGTCTAGAAAGCTACTTATGAGCTTTGTTGATCTCCGCCAATCTGTAAGATCATTGCCAGCGGCCAGGGGTACTAAAGTTATGTTCAGCAAAGATGAAAAAGCATATCATTAGGCCGCCCCTCTACTCGAATTCGCTTTCAGAACCTTGAGGTTTGACTTCGGATTTGAATATGAAACCAAACGATCTGTGTGGTAGTATGGGAATGAAAAAAAATCGACAAATTGTAAAAGCGCACTGTTTAAACACCTTGTCAAAGTTTATGACCGTGTCAGTTGATATTCGTTATAATTAGCTCAGCTTCTACTAAAATACGTGGGGCTGTTGGTAGCCCACTGGATCAAGCTCCCATTAAGTAACCACAAAGGATGAAAACGAAAGAAGCGTGGATTCATTATCAAACTCAATAACTCACCAATTTCGTCCCAACAACTAATATCTTCTCACATTCCACCCCTTATGAAAATTCAAAACGTTCAGTGTCACACAGCGTACATTAAGCAATTACCCAACACCATTCTTCTTCTATTTAAATCATCCAGACTGAAATTAAACAATTATTAATACGTACACATTTCCCAATCTCCTTCCTTGCTTAAGCCAGGAGATACAACATGCTCCAATTATTGAAAAGATCAATATAATCAACGAAATTCTTCTTCTGCTGCTCAACGCATTAAAACCAACAGCCATCGAGGCGTGGTTTCGGCGCCCACCTGCTCGAGATATATGATTGGATGTCCTTGAGATTGCGATGCACGAGTAGTTACTATGGCCCGTTAGAGAACACGATGCAGCGCGGGGTTTTGTAGATATCGCAGCAAAGCTTACCGTTTTTAAATAGCTGTTCAATTGTGGAAACTTTGTACAGATTTAGACACCTTTTGAAATCTATAAAATCGTCCCATGCTTGCTTAAAAGCAGTTGCTTATGCGTTCTGATGTACTACACGGCAGCTTTTATTCGGGTGCAAAGTGATAATGCGTACTCATAAGCTTCCTACAACCGATGATAATTTTTTTGAACAAGACCCACTAGCTAGTTAAATATATCAGGACAAGTTTTCCAAGTTACTAACGCTGTATTAGTGCTATTAGCTCGACTGGACCGGTTTACATGTTTCCTGTTGACGTAATAAAGTGACAATCGTGTCTACAGCTTCAAGTATCGACAGCGTACGATCGAAAACGACGTAAACTAAATTTGCTGAAAGAGAAGGCATCAACGTTATGATTGAAGCACTTGGATGCGTTGGCCTAATGGTCAGCTATGATATTTCAATTATATTCTTTAGCTTCAAAACTTCATATTAAATCTTCCATACCGCCTTTACTGTTGATTTGCCGTAAAGGTATTGTAACCAGCTGATAATACTCAGTCCGTACCAGCACCTATGCTTCGGCAACTGCTACAAAATTCATTTAAAAAAGAGCAACAAAATCGTTTTTTTTTTTTAAATATTTGAAGCATTTTTTTTCATCTGCCGCACAAACATTCTTATAAGAAATGAAAACAATGGCAACAGCATTTTTCTTACAAAAGCTACGGCGCCTGTCCCGCTGCAACACTTACTTTTAATTTTCTTTTAAATACAAGTAGGAACGAACGGCCACAGAACATTTTTTCTACAAATGTCCCACCGCGTGCATTTGAATATTGTAAGAACAAACGGCCAGAACATTTTTTTCTATAAATGTTTGCGACAGCCGTCTCACCGCGTACACTTGAAAATTGTAAGAACAAACGGCCAGAACATTTTTTCTGCAAATGTTGTGGCAACCGTCCCACCGCGTGGTGCAACATATACTTGAAAACTGTAAGAACAAACGGCCAGAACATTTCTTCTACAAATGTTACGCCAACCGTCCCACCAAACGATGGTGCTACATGTCATTTCAATTTTGGCTAAGTCGCAAGCAGCAATGAAGGACCCAAGATCTAGTGCCCATCGGCGGCTGAATAACAAAGGATACGTAATCCTTCATCAATATGTAACCAATGAACTCTGCGATCGCTTGCTAGGCGCAGCGAATTCCATCCCAACTAGTGAGTGGAGTCCGGTGTTTGGCCAAGGTGACGAAAGCGATGGAATGGACGACAAGCGCCTGACTGCTGCAGCTCCAACCTTTGACAGCAGAGCTATACGCAGCTATTGAAGAGGGTTGCAGGACTTTTTTTTCCTAATGGCACTGCTTGTGACTGGAGTTATCTCAAATCCCTCGAAGGAGGGCAAGCCCAGCCTCCTCACCGCGATTTCTCTACTGTTCCAGATGACGAGGACCTTTACGACTACACAAAACTGCCTGCGTCGGTCATTGTTGGATTGGAAGGTGGTAGTTTCATTACAAGCTACGGGTGGAATCGACTGGTAGCACTACAAGCAGAAGAAGAAGAAATTCGATTCGGAAAGGGCGATGTACTGATTTTTAGGTGTGATATGATACACGCAGGGGGTGCGTATAAGACGGAGAATATTCGTCTTCACGGATTCCTTGACCCTGCGAAAGCGGCTCGTGTGGTGCGGGAGGACAATGCTGTTGATTTAATTTATATTGTCCCGAACATGGAGAAAAAACTTGACAAAACAGACGCTACCTGTTATATCTACAGATGTGACCGAGTTTTTGAAAATGCGCGACAATTACAAGAGCACATCCGGGTGGATCACAGGATCAAGCTAAACCAGTATCCTGATCATATCACACAGCCAAAAAGGAAGAAGTACACCACGATGCAAACGTAAGCAAGGTTAGATGGGTTAATATTGGACGTCTAATGCAATTAACGTTTTTGCGTTCTTTGCATTGTGGATGTTGGTTCAAACTTCGAACATCCCCCGGCCCCCAGGCCGGTAGGCAATTTTTATGGTGGGAGTAACTGAACAGGATTATCTGTGGAGCCTTGCACAACTGAAACAGATTTTAGATAAATAGGAATTTATCTGCCCCAAGTTGTATTTTCCGATTGTAACGTGGCTCTAATGAATTCTCTTGAGGTTGTGATGCCAGATATTCCAGTGATTTTATGGGGGTATAAAACCTCGTTAAATAATTTGCTGATGAGACCCACTGGGTGCCTTCCAAAACTGGCATAAAAAAGCCGTACATTAAAGTTTAATCATGGTGAATTGTTTGGTGAGATCACGTTTTGGTCTCATCAAACAATTCACCGTGATTAAACTTAGTGCGCGACTTTTTATGTCGGTTTGGGAGGCATCCAATGGACATCGACTATTGAGATGGCGCTGGTTGCGGATACGGTATTGTAGTGTAACGTTAAAAAAATGGCCTCTTTGCTCGAGAAATCTCATTTCCTCGTGCGTGTTTTCCTGTTATGTCCCTTGGTAAGGTTGCCAAGGTAGTTTACCTACCTTCCGATTTGAAAATCTCAATGCAAATTTTTTTTAGAACTCCCGGGATAATCTGGGGCTCAGTGTATTAGTATGCGCAGCATACGAATCTAAACAAATCGTAATCTGACGATCTACCGCTCTGCAACTTTTTGATCAGAGCACTGCGATGAACCAAACATCATTTCCAATTCTTCGGACAGCAGGCAGTTCATACCCTCATTGCGGGTCAAAAAAAAAAAAACGATGGATCGTGTATCTGTCTCGGTGCTATATTTCGTTTTGCTCTCCGCTGTAAGTGCTACCACAATTAGTCATGATAGCGTGCAGCCATTCGTCCAACCTGACCCAGTCACAATATCCGAAAAGACGGCGGTCAAGTTCAAACCCCAACTTCACGTTGAAAAAGGTTGTGTTCCATTTCCAGCGGTGAATGCAGCTGGTGAGATTACCGAAGGCCTCAAGGGATGGATATGGTCGGAGGATTGCTCGGTTGCACCTTTGGGGTCGCAAATGTATGGCCGATCCACGTGGTTTCAAGACAAGTGGGCCATGGTGTATGCATGGTATTTCCCCACAGGTTTTGCTGCAGGTGGAGCTGAAATTCGCCACTACTGGTCAAGCATGGTGATGTGGATCGATAACCCGGCCCTTGAAACACCAAATATTCTTGGTGCATCGCTGTCACAACAGCTTCTCGAACCGCGAGGCTATTTGCTGGGTTTCTTGACGCCACAACGAAAAGATCCATACGACAAGTACATCAGCATTCCTCCTGTGAGCTTTGTGGGAGCGCAGCCAGTTAGTTCGAGACGAATTTCCAGATGGAGGGTTGAGTACACGTATAGTGGCGGTTCAAACGTATCCACCAAAGTATCTCACAGATATGCAAACAAGGGTGACTGGCTAGCGTTAGTCTTTTCAGCCAGAGAAGGCCAATATCACGATCTCATCATGTGGGATCAACTCACGGATGAAGCACGTGCGGCTCTCAACTCCGTGGATTTCGGTGAGTCGAAGGTTCCGTTTAATGACCAGAATTTTCAATCAACCCTCGAAAAAGCGTATCCATTCTAGACAGCTTTGCCGATACCATACAAACTTTGTTCTCCTGCGGTCCCACAGCTGCTCACAGTCTGCTGTAAAATAAATGAGGAACAAGTTAAAAAAAATTCTTTTTTTCTTAACAATATTTTTCCTTGCGATCGCAGACATGGCAACCAGTCTTAAATAAGGGCTGTCGAGTGTAATAATCTTTGTCTTCACGAATTGGATCGTCGTATCAATCACTGCAATAAGATCGAGGCACTTACCTAACGCTGAAAGAGTATCTCCAGCACTAAGTGTGGGTAAAAGTAGTGCGTGAAGTCTCGGAAGAGGTTAATCCCTTTAACCGGTAACTTCACGTTGTGGCAGATGTGGAAGGACACTTGGGTACAATGATACAATAATCCATCAAATGTTAAAGAGAAAAATCACTCCGATGAACGCGATGATTAACCATTTACTCATAACAATGTGTGAGGCATCATCATTCTTGTTGCGTTTTTGCTACCAGAGGAGCTTAACGCCGTCTGCTAGAGCTACGATCGCGACGAGAATCGTGTTCCGCACTCCGACTTCGCCTTGAGTGTCTCGACGAGTGATGTTTATCAGACCTTCGCTCCTTCCGGTCCTTTTTGTACTTCTTTCTCTTTTCCTTGTCGTCTCGAGACGAACGGTGTTTGTGATGCTTCTTGTGTTTCTTCCGCTTCTTCTTCTCTTCCTTTCTGCGTCGCTTAGCGTCTCGACCGGAGACGTCGTCAACACTAGGGGATCTCTTCCTACCTCGCATATCCTCATCATTCCCACTTCCAGAAGCGCCAGCGGAAGGATTAGCATCGTCTTCATCCGATGAATTCGATTCCTCTGAGCTCAGTTGGCATCGACCTAATTTAGCATTCGCTGCGTCACGCACCAATAATGATGTTTTCAGAGGTGATCTAGATGAATTTTCATGTTGCTTCGCTTCACCTTGTGCCTTGTTGCGTTCTTCATCGTTGCCTTCATCGTCGCTCTCGTCTTCGCTCTCGTCTTCACTAACTTCGGACTCGTCAGACGGCTCAAAAATGGATTTGAGCAGATCTGTCGATGCCTTTTCAACTGCAGGCAATGGAGGCAACCCTCTATCCTCACCGGGATTGGACTCGACAGCTTTGGCGAACTTCGATCCTTCAAATGCATTAATCTCTGACTGCCTATTGGCAGCTCGATCAGCTGCAAAATCCATCAAATGTGGAACCAGTTCTTTGTCAAATAAATCTCGCTTCTTGTCGTGTTCGTCATCTTTTCCGCTAGATCCAGTGGGCCCAGCACATTTAACATGGAAACGTTTGCAGAGAAGTGACTTGGGTATCCACAAACTCTGCGATCGACGAGATTTCTTTGTTTGCGGTTCTTCAACACTGACAGAGTCACTTATTTCCTCGTCCACCGTCGATTTTGATGACACGAACCTCTTTGCAATGGATGCAGAGATAGTAGCGCGAAACTGGTCACCTGTACTGCCACTCACTAGAGGCTGTCGAACTCTTGGCGCTGCTGACACATCAGTAGTAGCGCGCTTCGCACTTGACAAAGGCACGCCTTGTTTTGCTTGTGCGGCAGCATCGAACAGCTTCGCTTTTTGCTCGTCACCCAGCAAATCAAATACACTTCTGGTTGAGCTCTTCACTTCACCAGCACCAGCAGTATCACCATGTGTATCCTTCTTATCATCTTCAAGCAGAGCGGCTCGTTGTCTCGCTGTCACCATTCTATTGCCCATATTGTCTGTCGAAAAATTATACTTGCGATACAGAGCCGTCACGGTATCACTCTGGTCTTCATCGTCTTCAAAGCGGTGATAAGCCTTGAAGTCTGACGGTACAGTAAGGTGCACATTCACAGCTTTTGGTGGTTTCTCCTTGGAAGCCGTCAGTTCGAAGCCAGGCAGCACAGGACGTCCGTCCGAGCATAACGCTCTGCTGTGGCCTAACTTCTCATATCTACGAGATTCTTGTGCCGACGAATCCAGTCGTTTGACATCCTTCCGTGTTCCAAGTGGGGCAATTACCCGATCAAACTCAGCCATCGAGACAGTCCCGTATACGTCAATATCGTCGTTTTCTTCCAACGCACTCAGTCCATATCCAGTCGTCGCACGATTACTGCCGTCTGTAGATTTTAACGCGTCCAAAAACGATACCACCTGACGATGAGACCCTTCCTTCTGCTTCCTCTCTTGTTGCTGTTTGTACATTGAGAACTCCGGGGCATCACTATACGGGTCAAAACCTGCTCCATATCGATCCAATTTAGGCTTTGGAAAGGCCTTCTGTACATCAAACACCTTTCGCGGCGGCACATACACCTCCTCTTCATCCTGTGGCTCCGTCTTTGTTTTATCCTCTCTAGCATCTTGCGTTAAAAGCTTTGGCTGCTCTGTATCCTTTTCGTCTTGGTACTTGCGTCTCCGGACTCGTTGTCCGATGCCGTGGCCTTCTTTCCAGCCCATCTGCTTAAGCAGCTTGGCTCCAATGGAGTCGTTCACGGGCAAGACCCAGTCTTCAGGCAACGAGAACCCAGGAATAGAGGCTTCAGTTCGGTCAGGTTGCTGCTGTAGTTGTCGCTTAGCTCCTGTTTGCAGCGTATCATAACGCTCTGTAGTCTCCAGTCGTTTACCCAAAAGAGGATCGTCTTCCTCGTCCATAAAATCCTCAGGACGCTGTTCCACGCGCGACGAGCGACTGCTACGAGAGGACGAGAAGGTTCTTGGAGTCCATCCTTCCTCACTCCCCACGGAATTGTAGTAACCAGCTGAGAATCCTCCGGTGAAGGCTCCGTGGAAGCGTCGACGGCCTTGCGCGTCCGTCACCTGCGGGATTTCAACCGAAAACGAGGCACAAAGGCGTTAAAGGATGAGTACTATTAGCTAGGGCTGACGTCGCGCAGTGAATGAGCACAGAGACGACGAGAGAGAAGAGAACGTACCTCCTGGTTGCAGATACTACCGCGCTTCATTTGGCTCAGTGTAAATTGTGGGGCGACCCAAACGGTGACCTAAATTATGTGGGACGATCCAGAATGTAGCCATCTCATTACCGGAATGTAGACGAGAACTGCAACAGCTCAACGTAAAGGCGACAGCGCTCGCGTGCCCCCGTGGCTAACAAGGCTACAGCGACATCACAATAGCAAATGACTTTCCCATTTCAATTATGAACATACACATAAGGCCTTTCAAGCTACGCTATACAGTAGAGGGTTGTAGTTAAGCAGCAGCGATGCCGGATTGAGGTGGGCTCGAGTGTGCAATGCAGAGTGGACAAGTCAGCGACTCATTAAGTTTCGCGAGGATACACTCGTCGTGGAAGCAATGGCCGCAGTCTAGCGTGGTTAGACCAGCTCTCACGTGCTTGTCGACCTTTTTGTTGACGTCTGAAGGGCCCCTTTTGCTACTTGGAGCTGCTGGCACAATTGACACCGTGTCGTCGCCGACGAGCGCCTTGCGACAGATAAAACATTCCTCCGGATCTTGCGTCGGGTCGTTGTCGAGAAAGCTGCTATCTCTTCCACCAATAGTGAGGCGCTCGCTCAACCGCATAAAATCCGAGCGATCGAAGACCATGCCCTCGAACAGGAAGTCATAGATGAGCTGTGGTAGCTTGGTGGACGATACGGAGCATTCCAAGTTGCGGTTCTGCTTGGCCATACGCAGCAGCGTCGAGAAATACGTCTGCAACTCCGACAGGCGTCCAGAAATCACACTTGGGCTCCTTGATCGGAAGATGCGGCGGCGTGGAAAGTGGTGCGCTGCGTACATGTAGAGCCACGGACAGTTGGACGGACAGAAGTGGCCGTAGTCGAGCACGCTGGCAATTTCTTCTTTGAGCTCGTAAAATTCCTTAAAGGTCCTTGCCATTTCCCACGTTTGGTCCAGCGCTGTGTTACTGATACGCATGACGTAGCGCGGACTGGCAAGCTTGTTCTGGCCGGGCACCACAGCTTTGATAAACTCCACGTGGACATTATCGAGCAGCGTCTGCTCGAATGTCTGCGTCGGCGTGAGGCGCTGCGTTTGCCGTTCTACGCGGCGCTTGGGGAACGAGAACGAGCGGCTCATTTGTTGCTCCTGGAGCGACTTGCGGCGTCGCAGCTTGGTGGGTGGTCCGATTGGCAGCGAAATGGACTTGCGCAGGGCCATGAGGAGCTACGGCGGTTAGCCGGATGAAGGTGATCGAAAGGCGCAGTAGGTGTGTTGGCGGTTGCGCAGCGCTGAACACCCGATCACCTCCAACTGATAAACGCACGGACACTTGAGCTCTGAGCCACCTGGGGGCAATTGGCGAATGTGAATGCTCCAGCTGGGCGAGTCCACATTGGCACCGTGTGGTCGTTCCCCTATGGAAAGCATCGCCAGCTGTATCCATTCGAAAGGTATAGTGACTTCTGGATTAGTGATCCACAAATGGAAAAACGGGAAGATGTGGTGATTGTATGGAAATAATAGATACGTTCGTAAAGAAAGGCTCAGTAGAGAAGTACAGGTTACTAAACGAAGGGATACAATGCTGGCTATTTTTAAAAGCCAGCATTTGCAAGCGTACTTCTGTTTGGATCGCGTCGCAAACCGAAAGAAGCTGACCACGTCGAGCTGTCGTGACTCTCGTGCGCTGTAAACGGCGCCATAATACATGTAGCTTGGTCGACCCGGATACTCTGTGACGATCGCGCTCAAGCTCGCAAACCTCTGCCGTGTGGGAAAGATCGAACGCGGTGATCTGTAGGCTACATGTATCGGCACGATCGCATCGCTTTTTAGAGTTCGGAGCTCAGGTGTTTATGGCAATTAGTTCATCACGCAAGTGGCGTATTCAGGTCCGCCGCTTGCTCGTGCAGATATGTTTCGCACATTGTACACTTTTACAGGCACGTCATTTGCAAACAGACACGAGGTTTCTCGTGTTATTCGAAATGATGTACTGCATGTTCATGGCCTTCGTCATTGATGTGAAGTGAGGTACTGCAGTATCGGTAGCTTTCACATGTTCCCATCATATTTCTTTACGTTCATCTACGCTTACTCGCCACCGACTAGCAAAACTAGCTTCATGTTTCAGTGAAATCTCAAGAATCCTGTTTTTTGGACAGAAATTCTGATATCTATCGGATATTTATCCAGGTTGTTTTGCGATCAGATCCCAAAAACTATTTTTTGTAAACTGTTTTTGGGTTAAGAAGCTTCTATGAATTATGGGAACCGGTCTGTCCAGTAAAACCTGGCTAGGTACAGGCAACAAAGTTCAGAAGACACCCCCAAGATGCGGGGGAGAGCCATGCTGTCCTGCATAATTGACTGCGTGTCATTGGATGTATTGATTGCCATCTGATTCGCGTCAGTGTACCAGTTGATAACAACTCCTTGCTCCTGAATTACGTATTTGATTGTATCTTTACTTTAGAAGCAAGCTAGGGTACATGTAACAAGCCGAATAGAATTCATGCCAGGGTATCGTGTTTTCATTAGTGTCAACAGCAGACAGAGGTTACCGTCCATACCTGGTTTACATCGCCATGTAATCCCCTCCACCCGTGTCACTAAGGTCGGCAAATAGATTCGCTTCGTGCCGACGAACGAGTGCTTTCTGTCTGAATAGAACAGCACCAACGACAACCGCCACAAACACGGCACACGCAACAACGATTCCTACGATGGCTCCTGCACTTAAAGCATTGGAGGGGTTCACATCTGTGCCTGAACCAGTGTTTGCATATGCAATGCTCCCGGTGTCCGTTGTTTCCGTCGACGAAGTCCCTCCGGTCGTGGTTGTCCCCTTTGTAGCCGTTCCGCTCGCCGTTTTCCCAGTGTTTGTGTATATCGTGCGGCTTCTTGTGGATCCATCAGGTGTGGTTCCTGACTTTTTCGAGCTTGCCACGCAGCCGTAGACACCAGTATCAAGCAGCGCGCAGTAGGCTCCACCGGGACAATCACCGTCGCTTACCTGGTCCACGCATACGTTGTTCGAGACGATACACCCGTCGTGCTCCCAGCCGACTACACCGATGGTCTGTTCGTTGCTAGAACACCCTCCACCGTCCTTGCATCCGTACACACCCGTGTCGAGCCAAGCGCAGTGAGCACCGTGCGGACAGTCACCGTGCGTATTGGCAACGCAGACATTGCCCGATGTGACGCATCCGTCGTGGTCCCAACCGGCCACACCGATGCTCTGCTGTCCCGTAGGGCACACCGCATTTTCGTCATGAGGCCCTGTCGGAGCAGGAGTCGGTTCATCTCCCTTGGTTGGAGCAGGAGTCGGTTCGTACGGCTTAGGAGTGTCTTCAATTGGTGGTGCTGTGGTATCAACTGGGGTTGTAGTATCAGCTGGAGGCGCAGTAGATTCCTTTGGAGGAGCAGCCGTGTCTTCCGGGACCGTTGAATCGGCTGGGGGAGCAGTTGTATCATCTGGCGCTGTCGAATCCTTTGGAGGTGCTGTTGTGTCTTCAGGAGTCACAGTATCCTTTGGAGGTGCAGTCGTGTTCTCTGGCGCTGTCGAATCCTTTGGAGGTGCTGTTGTGTCTTCAGGAGTATCCTTTGGAGGTGCTGTCGTGTCTTCAGGAGTATCTTTTGGAGGTGCTGTCGTGTCTTCAGGGACTGCGGTATCCTTTGGAGGTGCAGTCGTGTTCTCTGGCGCTGTCGAATCCTTTGGAGGGGCTGTTGTGTCTACAGGTGCCGTAGACTCCGCTGGAGGCGCAGATGTATCCTCTGGGGGTACAGTCGTGTCTTCCGGCGCACCAGTATCGTGTGGAGGTACAGTTGTGTCTTCGGGGGCTTGAGAATCTGGTGGGCTATGAGTCGGTTTATCTGTCGGTTCATTGGTATACGAGTAAACGTTATCCTTAAGCTCGTCCCAAGAAGCGTACTCGTCATACACAGTCGGAAGGTGCTCCTCGTAGTCGCCTTTTCGTGGTGGGTAGGTTGGGGTAAGTGGTGGTATTTCTGTTGGTACATCTGTGTACTTAATTTCCTCCCAAGGTTCGTAGTCGTCGGTCACGGTTGGTAGGTGGTCCTCATAGTTATCATCTTCCCGAGGATAGAGCGGGGCAAGTGTGGGTGCTAGAGTTGGTACCTCACACGGATTGCAATCGTCTTGGTCCCACCGCACGAACACATCGTCGACAACCGTCGTCGTCATTTCCTCCTCCTCACCTTCATCCGACAAATCTGTGTCTGACAGCGTAGAATCCGAGTTGAAGTCTGCGTCAAAGATATCGTCCGCGTTATCAAACGAATCCTCCATACTGGAGTCCACGTCGACATTATCGCGATCCGACATGTACTCGTCCTCATGTATAGCCTCGTCCTTCGCGTTGTCGGGCTGGAAAGATCTGCTTTCCCACGGAACAACGACATCTACCACCTGTGCGCCGTACTCGTCGGCTTCCGCCTTCCGTGTCGTGAAATACACTGTCTTATCATTTGACGGTGATCTTGTATGCACCGTTGCAGTCCCGCGGAGCAATCCGAATCTTTCGTCAGTCACGTGTTGAAGCGAAATGTCCTTGGTGTACTCTTGGTTTACCAGCAGGGGGTCACTATTAACACCCGGTAAAGCTTCAGAAATGGCGACAACGTTGACTTCTGCCGAGGATTTCGAGGTCAGCAACGCTGTAGCCACCACACAGCCAAGATCGAGCCTCATGGAGAACCCTGCTAGTGTTACTTTTCGCTTCAAGTAGTGACGGCAGTGCTTCACTTCTGCTACACTGAGTGCAAATTGAGATTGAACGATGCAAACGAGGTTGTGCCATGGTAACAGTCGACCACTCTTTGTAGTGAAAGGTCAGGAGACTGCTCCAGTCGCCTCAACCCAAAAACGAGCACCGATATCCATAACCACCGCGGAGCAACGACAAGCCAAGAAGCACACTACCATAATCTCATCGTGACTCATTGGTAATATGTGCCAGTGACGGTGAATCGTCAGTAACGAAAACTGATCGATTGATAGCTCCTTCTTGAGTCGACACCGTCGACTAGAGAAGGAGCACCAATTAGTATTAGAAAGCACTTCGCGAGTCAATTTGCTTGCTTCTGTCCCTCACCCTCTCCAATCTGTGCACCGGGGTTGCTTGTGTTCCAGCCTCCAACCACGCAATGACTCGCGACATAAGCAGCGATACGCCGCCAGCAAACGATCGCCTTCTCGTTCATTTACACCGCACGGAGTTTTGGGCTCTCTGTAGCACCAAATTTAACGACCATGCTGCCGAAATCTATCGCTAGGTGTCTCGAGGGTTGAGCTACGGTGATCCCATCGGTTACTCAATGATACATGCATAGAATCCAATCAAGTTTGGCACGGTTTCCAGATGCCAGTTGGTATCGCATGAGAAGCTGTGGATTTTAGGCGATTGTGCGGTTTGGTTCCTTTGCCGATGAGGCCTGCTGTGCGCTGAGACTTGAGACCACCTGGGCCAGGTGGCCCAGTTCCACTGGAACTTCCAGGCCCGATAAGATCGCTCCATCGGCTGGAGCTCGAACAGACAAATCGACTACATCAGATGTATCTGCCATCGTCGATTCTCTCGTCAGAAAGTACTAACCTGCATGTCTATGTATCTATCGATTTATAGGGCATTGGAGATGTATAAATGAATATCCTTTGCTAGCAGATTTGGTGGCGTCATCATGAATTAATCCTGTCAAAACCAATAAAACTCAGATATGACAGTGAAATTATTATATAGAGACCCACGTACTAAGTGAAGTATAGAAAATCCTAATCGCGCATCGATTCATATTAAATATGCAGAGGTTTTCTTTTTGTCTCTGGTTCATTGTGCATAAATGAGTGCTGAATCCATGCCGCTTCGCAAAGTCTGTCAAAACCTCATCACCAGCTCCGTCACTCGAGAAACTCCCTCCGCCGAAGCAGCCACTTCCCCAACTATATTAATCGCGCCACCATGAACTACCTGTTCGGGTACGGAGAAACACCAGCGACGGAGGAGCAAGTCAAGCCCGAGGAACCTGCGTACCCTACAGCCAACGACGTGGACTTCGAGACGTATGGCAAGGAGAGCATCCAGATTCTACTCAACCGCCACACCGGCGATGACAAAGTGACCACGTGGGAGATCGTGGACGATGCTGACGGTGTGAAGATCTGGCGCGGCGCTGTGGAAGCCTGCGACTGGTGTCCGTTCCGTGCCGAGCGCCGTATCGACGCCGATAAGCGCGTGATCGAGCAGGTCCTGTTGGACCCGAACCGCACGCTGGAGCTAGACGAGATGATGGAGGGCATCGTGACGCTGCGCGACATTGGTGAGTCCAACCACTTAGCTTTCCGCCAGATCACGAGCAAGGGTCAGTTCCCTATCTATGGCCGTGAATTCGTTGTAGTCACGTACGCCACCACGCTCGAGGACGGCCGTGTCGTCATCGCCACACGCTCCGTGAACGTGGCGGAAGTGGCTCCTCTCGAGGGCTACGTGCGCGCCCACAATTACATCTCGGGCTACATCATTGAGGAGTTCAAGGGGGAGAACGGCAACGCGTACTGCGTCGTGACACTCCTCGCACACGCCGATTTGGCCGGCTACATCCCACCCAGCATCATCAACATGCTGGGTACGTCCTCCACCGTCAAGGTCCTGGAGAACTTGGAGGCCATCGTGACAGCCAAGTAGACGGCGTGGCTTATTTTGGGTATTCCCCCAAAACTACCAAACTTGTGTAACCGACCATTTCTACTTAGAAGCAAACCGTTGTTTTTTAGAACACGCGCGATTCATCGCTTTATAACTTCACGAATATACATTTTTGGAACTCAACTCGCGAATGTTCAGCTTTGGTCATCGTCTGCACGATGAAAATGCTCCAGCGCCCTGAGCATCTGTAGTTGTTGCCAACAACTAAATAAAGAAGGACAGCTTGGGGTTGGTAAAGTCGACAGTGTCCATCCTGTCGGCTGAGACGACAATTACAGCAGGGTTTTTAGCGTTTTTGGAAGCTGCAGGGTAGGCCACCTCATCGTTGTTGTCATCGTCGCCAACTTCAGTGGCCACAGCGGATGGAGCGATGGTGAACGCCGACTCGTCCGAGTCTGAGTATGAGTAGATTGAGTTGAGTCGGCTCCCTGCTGCACTCTCATGTGACTCGTCCGTTGACGAGGAGGTAGACAGACCTTTCATGCCGTGGACAACCGAGTGTAAGCTTTGCCGTTGAGCTGTGTTGTGTCTGTTCTTGTGTGCTGAAGAACTCCTGCTTCGAACGTCCTCGGAGCTATCGAGAGTGCTACTGCCGCCATCGCTTCCGTTCATCTTGAATTCAACTGAAAGCATTGTCGACTCACGATCGCTTCTAGACATAACAGACCACAGCGAGCTGATTTCGCGGGTGCGTTTGCGTTCATCCAGCTTCATCAGATCCACGTATTTGTCCCGTGAGATGTTGGCGACTTCGATCATAAATCCGTCCTTGGACTCACGCTTTTCCGGATCAAAATCTTTTTCATCACGTGGAGCACACAGTGACACGACCACTTCCTGTGCACTCGTAGTTGACACAAGTCCTCGACTGGGCTTTACAACGTAGCCGGACTGGTTTGATGTACGCACTTTAAAGGTGAGGCAATCACTCTGACTGGAGTTCACAATGAAAAGTGACGTGCTGCCCCAGAAACGCGGTGCAGGCTTCACTTTGAATGACAACGTATCGCTTGGTTGAATATGGTAAAGCAGAGGACCAATCTCGTGCGTCGGTTCACCCGGTGTAGTGTCAGTAGATCGTGCTGTCAGCATCGTATCGCTGACAGAGCAGTCGTTCACGCTGATACTGGAGAGCATAGTGTCACGTTGTCTTGGTGACCTCGAACTCGTAGCATTACTTGAAGCCGACATTCTCGCCTCCGATCTCCTATCCAGAGCGGGCTCCATCGTCGCAGCGTAGTTCTTCGATGCCGACATCCTCCTCTCCATTGACGCTGGAGGCTCGATCGTTGTGTGGAAGCTGGCGTCGCTATTAAACGATTCTTGTCGACTACGGCACTCTCTCCGTTCCTCTGGTGGCGTAAATTGATTGCTAAAAGACCGATCAAGGCTGCGTTCGCTGCTGCTTCCACTGCGACTCAACCTGTTCTCCCTTGCGCTCATACTTAAGCTCCTGTTTTCACTACGACTGGATCGATACTCTTGCGAACTCGAGCTAGCGCTGCTCATACTACGCGTGAACATTTTCCTGTCCTGCGTTATCTCAGTAGGAGGAAGCCCCGAAGCTCCAGTAAAGCGACAGACCATCTTGTTCTCCGTGACAGAATCTCTAGACACTTTCTTCCAGAATGCACGTAGTGACGTACTCGAGTTGGGGTCTAGAGGCTCCATGGCTTGTACTTCTTCCTCTCGCTCCACGCTCTGCACGAGGAAAAGCTCGGAGGACTGGCGGGTCATCAAGTCCCGCGGGTTCATGGCGCTCAGGCGCTCGCAGGTCCGTGCAGTGGCCGTGATAGTCACTTGGGCACTGGCTCCAGGCGCTACCAACCCGTGGGTCGGGCGTACCGTAAAAGCGTCCGGGTTGCGCGTCCGAACACGGAAGACCACGTCATTTAGAGGCGACAGGTTGGTGAGCGTGAGGTTGCAGCGCGTACGCTGCGCCGACGTGGCGTCTGGTATTGGGAACAGCAGCTCACGCGCTGGTTCTAGCAGCACACTCGAGCCCACGCCCACGGACGCGGTGATCATCCTTCTCGAACACAATTGAGATTGTGAACTTTTGCAAGAGGGATTCAGCGATGGTACGTCAGAAGTTCTTAATGCAAAAACCTCTTTAACTTGATGAACAAATGCATACAAAACTTATGTCTATTCGACCTAAGTACGAATTGCAGTGTGTCACATTTATCTTGGCAATGCAAATCTTGAAGAGACGTCATCCATTGCCATCCACCGATGCGCGCCACTTGCCACAGCACGAGCTTGCAGCGGCGCTATTGTAGTGGTGTTTTGTCGCTCTCACACGTGGCATCGATAGTGCTTTGGGTGGCTGCGGTCGCTCTGCCGTTGCTTCTGGCATGGGGATCGCGAGGTGCGCAAAAATGCTTGAAAATTTAGGGGAGATACGGAACTGGTAACGCTTAAAATCTGGTAGATTTTGTGCTGCAAGTGAATTCATACAGAGAGCAGCCCGTGGATAAGTCCACAGACCAAGTGCTCTGTGTATTAGAAGGCGAAAGTGATGGTGGAACGCCGCTAACGTTGGTGCACACTACCTTCCCGGATCGGGTTCAGCAGCTCTTCTCGAACGCAAGCTTGCAAACTGCTTTCGTTAAGGTGAATCGGTTCATCAAAGAAGTGAATAATTTCGCCACACTGAGCTCTGGTTTGGTGCCATGCAGACTTCAAATACGGATGTCGATGCTGATGGAATCCCCGAGTCAGTCCAAGTTGAGATTGCCACGCCGCTGTCGACTAACGAGATTATTCGACATGCAACGGTGGTGGTTGTGCTCGATTATACATTAAAGGTACACCTGCCGCTGCTATGACAGATGAGCACAGGCAGCGTGTTGTAACATCATGATGTGGCATGTTTTTCGCCAAGTAGAGCTACGCCAAGCTCAACATTGACGTGCTGACGGTGTTCAGGCATTCGTCTTCGTTGGCTGGGGACATGTTGTATGCAGATGGAGATCTCAGCTTTCATCAACGTTATCCACTTGAGATTACCGATAGGTGCGCAGATGCTGCACGAAAGACTGGATCGAGCGTTTCTAATGATGCATTTGTATGTTGACAGCATCCAGCAACCGTACGTTGATTCACCCATTGTGAACATGACCAGCACCAATACAACGCAGGAGCTACTGCTTCAGTCTCTCATAAGCGGGTACCGAGAGCGCAACTGTACGTTTTTCGTCGTTCTTCTTCGTGCGGCGGACTAATCGCTGTTTCTACTATCTCCACAAAGACACCGCCAATTTCTACGTCCCGTACCCAATTTGGACGCCAAATGCCAATTCATCGGAAGACATTAGGGTGTTTCGAGTGCTCATGGATATTCGGATAGACCCTGTCAACGTTTTGTAAGGCTGTGCATCGAAAACTCATGATACTCGCTCCAGTTAACACTCTTCGTTCAGATACACCCCCGAGTGGCCAGAGATTGTAAAGCATGCTTGGATACAGGTAAGTCATCAGCATGAAATGCTCTCTGTTATTCATTTCATACCCAACTCATCTCTGGCTCCAGTACTACTGCATTTTCGTTGTCGTCTCAACGCTCGCATTTGCTCTGCGTGAATATCTCTTCATCAGCAAGGTTTGTTGTCATCGGAAATTCGTCAAAGTCAACCTCCTGTTCTTTTCACTCACGTGTTCTTGTATCCAGCTTCTCCCCAGCGTTTGTGTCGTCGATGAACCTCGAATGAAGCCTACAAAATATGAATAGCACTTTGCAAAAACAAATACAATATATAATGTAAAACGAAAACTCACTTCAACTTTGTCAACGTCAGCCATTTCAGTTAAAATTCCAAGTTTATCCGTTAATTGCTAAGTAAGCGGAATCGATTTTTTGCGTTCAAGTTCATCCGACGATGAGCACCAAAGAGAGTGAGCCCAAGACGCAGGAGGAAGTGGACCTAGACGACCTCCTCGACGGTACTCGTCTATATCTGCAGCGTGCACACACGTACACGCTCTCACCTTGCCTACGCTGAAAACAGATGCGCTAGACGACTTTGCGGACGAGGTGAGCGCCTCGGAGATGTCGAAAGTCACGAAAGAAGCAGCTGCCACAACCGCGGCGACACAAGAGAGCGAAGATAACAAGCTGCAGGAGGTTCGAATAACTGATAAGGCCTTGGAGGGAGCGGGAGCGATGATCTAACGTTTGTAACCTGTCAGAACATGGCCAAATTCCTCGAGGACGCACAGAATCCCGAGTTTCAGAAGGTGCTAGAGCAGGCATTTCGCGAGTTGGGCACGGACGGTAGAGTGAAGTCAAGTGTGGAGGGTATTCAGACTGAGACTGATAGTTATGATGCATTTGCAGCGGATGCGGAGAATATAGAGCAGCTATTGGGCTCGTTGAAGACGGAAAACTCGACGGATGAGACGGATGACGTCAATGCTGGTGTGGCCAAGACACTGCAGAATATGGCAAAGGCGGCGGAAGACATGGAAGGCGTGGGGACGGCACAGGTGGAGGCCATGGGGGAAGAAATGATGGCCGAGATGATGAAGAAGTTCGAAGAGATGGGAGAGAAGGTGTGGTGATTGGTGTTTTGCTGGGAGGTAGAATGGTTATTAACGTGTGTGATGATGCTTGTTGCTGTAGAGTGATTTCCAGGACTTGGTGGACGGAATGATGCAGCAATTACTGTCGAAGGACGTCATGTATGACCCCATGAAGCAGATCTGCGAACGGGTACGCTGATTTGAAGTGGATAAGTGTTGAGCTATTGCTCTTAAAATCGTATTTACAGGATCCTCGCTGTGTTATTGTAGTATCCTGAGTGGCTTGCCGAAAAGGAATCGCTGTTGTCGAAGGAGGATTATGAAAGGTTAACATGCTTGCTTGCTGTGTAGGTTGATGTGGATTTAATAACTTTTTGCGGCTTATGATATGCACAGATATGGCAAGCAGTACCAGTACTTCCAGCAGATTGTTGCAGTGTATGAGTCAGAGCCCGATAACTATGCTCGGCTGTCAGAGCTGATGCAGGAGATGCAGGAGACCGGCCAACCTCCTTCCGAGATCGTAAAGGACCTTGCTCCAGGTAGGCTTCCCTATGCCATGAATAAAAAATGATATGAGTGCTAACGCCAGTCTTCAATAGGCCTGCAGTTCGACGACGAAGGAATGCCGATCATGCCCAACATGGTTCGTCTTGAGGCTATTTGGTTATACTACACAAAGCATCTGCATCGATTCTAACAGTGATACTGCTTCTGCCTTGTTCTACTCCGCAGGGTCCTGGCATGTTCCCCGGTATGGCTGGAATGCCTGGCATGCCCCGTAAGTTGAATCGAAGCTCTTGCTTCCTGTAGTTTGAGCTGCAGAGTTCACTGATTGCTGTTCGTTGATGTCGATTTAGTTGGTGGCGTCCCAGGCCAGGAACAGTGCTCTGTGATGTGATCTGACCATATTCCACATATTCAAGATGATCGTTGAAGCTGCTATTCCTTCAAAACATTGCTAGAGAATTGCAACGCCAGCTCTGCGTGTTTGAATCTTGTCTATCTTGGATTTGGCGCCTGTTCATTATTTTGTCAAAGTGGTCGCGAGCAGCTCGCAATGCAACATCTGGATGCTATTTCGCTTGGCGTTTTCTCGTACTTGCAGGCCCACGAACGTGTGTCCCGAGTCGAATCAAAGCCCTTCGTTGGAGCTACTCAGATGGAATTTGGGCTCTGGGAGCAGGTACAAAGGATATGATTTTATGATTTTATTGACCTGGAGGAATGCTCACTCGCGTTCAGAAAAACTCCCCGAATATGCTTCCAGAAGATTTGAGGCGCTTCTACTCGATCGCTAACGGACTGTCGGTCAAGTGGTTTGCTCCATTTTGTGGTAAGATATTCGTCATGATATCTTCAATCTTACAAAAGCCCTGAGTTGCATCTGTTTAGAGAAAACCACTTTAGTTGGTCATTTCTTGCTAAATTCGCTTCAAGATCTACATCGTCTCTCGATCACGGACCTCCCTTCAAAGTGCCGCGCTGCAGATATGCATAGACTTGACATGAAAAAGGTACAACAGATTGGCAGAGCCTCCGTCTCGATTAATAAAGTCGAGCATTCATTCACATTCGCTTAACAACTCGATCCAGATCAGCCACAAGGAACTCGTTGGGTTTTCTCTCGAAGCTTCTCCAAAATATGGCACTGTCGTTCTCATCTATCTGGAAGGTACCGTGCGTCCAAGCTTGTTTATTGAGTCTCGATTTGGACTATAACCACACTCGAAATCGTGCAGAAGAGCCGCAAGTATGGTTTAGGGACATACGAGGCAAGTGGAGCTTCCTGGCCGAGACGTTCACCAACTATTACCGTATGATGCTCACTCATCTGGGCATCATATCATGGCAGGTAAGTTCTCATAAATAAGACATAGTAGTGAAAAAGAGTTTCAACTTCACACTGTTCATACTATCCGAGCAGACAATCTTCTCCGATACTGGTGTTGATCCCATGCGAAAGGTACGCACGCACCTTTGGTATTGTACCTATGCGTCCCAGCTAACCAAGATGTGATGACTTTTTATCAAATTATTAGCCATGGCTTTACCTGTTTATCCCAAACCGAATGCTTCTTGATGAGCAGAATGCTCGAGATCAAGGACAAGAATAACAGAACACTTGCCAATGTAGAATCAACAGGCCATTAGCATCTTCATTGAGTTAGCCACCTGTGCTCAGACACTGCAGGTTTGTCAGATTTGTCAGACGTGCTATCCTCCAAGTAAAAGATACTCTCATCTTTATACTTCAGCTTGTGGTAGTCTTGCTTCGAAATCGCCACGACTCTTCTCTTCACCTGCGATGACGAGATGTCCACCACTTTGACTGGAGTCTTCGAAAGCTCGGGATTGTATGGCTCACTAGTAAATCAGGCAAAAGGTTAGTCCTATACGTGCACTGATAGCACCACAAAACTATGTGTACCGTTTCAGCATGCCCACTCGAAGCATAACACGATTTTCCTTGCTATCCTTTCGCTTTGATTGCGAGCCTTCATCTTTGCGGCCACTCACGTGAATGCTCAAAATCTCGCAGACATTAAACAGAAGGTAGTGATCCGCCGCGCTACCTGAAATGTCCGCCATTACAAGCTCGCCAGTATGTAGTTTCAAAGTGGTGCTACAACACACAACACAAGCGTAAATTAGTTGATCCACAACAACGGAAAGAGAGGTCAATTGAGTACGAACTTGTCATTGTCACCGATCTCAGCACTCGCTGCAAACACATCTTCGCTACCTACGCGGTGTGGCTCAAAAACCGGTTCTTCCGGGTCCAGAAATTTCTGAATAATAGTCAGGTTGACCATTATTAGTCTTCAGTCGATTTGACAGCAATTACGAGATCACGTACCTGAAGGATCATGCACTCAGTAACCCACTGAAAGTCTTTAACCGGCAAATGGCGCTTTCTCTTATAGTACCGGCATGTCTAGGTTTTAAAAAGCAACAAAGGTTAGCTGGAGAAGAGTATCGCGCAAATAAACACATGGCACTTACCGGTGTGTACTCGTCGCATAGCACCACATCAACACTGACGCCACTCTTGCTAGACAAATTCTGCAAATACCAAATTGATGGTTAAACGAGGTAAGACAGAAACACAAGCGTTAACTACTCTAAAAGGCAGCCTCACCTCGTATACGGCGTCTGCACCACAAGCTTTCAATATAAACGCCATCAAACTGGCCTTGTCCTTTGCCTCTGACTTGGATACTTGAGAAACATCACTGACGATGCCAAAGGAATAGCCTTCAAAAATGTGTAGCTCTCTAGGGGGGAAGCACTCGAACTTTCGAGTAGTAACGGAATATCCCGTTGGCACTTGATACCCATCGAATGGTACCACATACCCAGCGTCAATGCAATCTTTGATCCAGTCCGTGTGGACAACGGGGATTCCACACGCAACAGCTTGCATGAACTTGCGCTTCCTCCAGGATACAGGCGTCGCAATCACCACGCCCTTAGGGTTGTTTTTGTATAGTACGTCCTGGTAGCGCTCTGGAATTTTACCTCCATGGCCTTCAATTAACTCCTTCAAAGTCTCCTCTCCAGCTTTCACGAATCCCGTCAAGCAAAACTCAAATTTGTACTTGAACAGAGTCCGAGATCTTGAACCGTATGCACGTTGTGACGGTACTGGCGTTAACGTCCGTGTTCGAGTTCGAACTTGTGGAGTTGAGGTAGGTGTTGACTGAGTAGTTCGAGTACTACGTCGTGCAGGAGGTCGAGGCGTCTGGGGGTCACCTGCATCGTCTTTCGAGGGTTCACTTCCATCAGGAGACAAGAACTCGCGCCTTCGTTTCTTGGTTTTCGGGGTGTAGATGCCCTGGCTCGGGGAATCACGAGGCTTAGTCGAGATTTTCTGCTTCTTTTTGCCTGTTGGTATATCTGGCGAGGACAAAGTTTTCCTCTTGGAGCTCACTTGTTCATCGGTCGTAGTAATAGAATTCTTGGGGGCAGTGGGATTATCCACTGGTGTTGGCGTTGGTGTAGCTAGATATACCGGGCTGATAGAAGACTCGAACGGACTGGGTCTGTCACTTCTAGAGAAATTTTCTATCCTCTTGGACGCTGGTGTACCTTCACTAGTTAGGCTTGCACTGAAGTGAGGTTCACCGTCCTGCGACGGCATGGAGAAGGAGAATTCCAGGCTGCGGATCGCCTTCGTCTGAGAATCACCTCCAGCAGCAGCATAACTCGCCACTAGATCATCACTTTTCTTTGCGTTTTGCATAGGTGAGTTCGGCTCAACAACCGGTTCGCCCTCCGTCCCAGTCTTACTAGGCTGCGTAGGTACACAGTCCTCCTGTTCGTCATCATTCGTGGTGTCCGAAACTCCCTCCACCGGCTTTGCGTTCACTTCAGTCGAATCAGGTTTTACCACTCGAATGGGGTTAACTCTTGGCGTTAAATAGTCCTGCTGCGTAGCCTGCGATCCTTCTCGACTTGTCACTTCATCCTCACAACTTTTCTGGTTCTTTTGATCTGGTGTGGGTACAACAACTGAGTCGGGAGAATACCCTGCATCCTTACTATCATTTTTCTTCTCATCGCCGTCAACTGCATCCATTGCAGACGAACAGGCTCCATAAGGCAGCGTTCCTGTATCAGAGTATGGGTACACTTCTGTCTCCGCTTCATCATCTCCACCAGCGTGTCCATAGCTTTGAGTCACATCTCCATCTCCAGCCTCTTCCAGCTGTTGCGTACACTCCATCTCATCCTCGTAATCCGTCTCACGATCGCTATCTTCAATAATACTCTTCTCAACGTTCTCCTTCTCCACATCTTTCACCTCAGTATCCGACGTTTCCTTTAACGTAGTCTGGAAAATCCTCGGCGCCAGGTCTTCACTGTACTCCGAATACGCAGCCACAGAGTCCTCGGCATCTTCTGCTTTATTACTGGTCGATTTCTCCTTACGAGCACGCCACGCCGTCTCCACGGCCTTCAACAGGGTTGGTGGAGGACTTGGAGACCCGTTTCTGAGTTCCTGAAGCTCCTGTTTACGTATTTTTAAAGGAGAGCTCACCTTCTTCTCTTCTTTCTTCTCCTGTGTCCTTATATTCTCGTCAATCTGCGTGTCTTCAGCGAATAACTCGTTGAATGGGTTCGCACTTAATTGCGCGACAGGTCGGAAGCCATCGCCGCCTCTTGTGACTCCTGCTGTCGCCTCCAGATCCAGTACGAGCTTAAGCGTCTGCTTCTTTTCCTTCACTGGTGGTAGCGCCACCTCCTCGGCGCTCGGAGGCACGTGAAACCCTAAAAATGCGCTAGGGTCAGCGCTGCATTGCTGGGACTCGGCGAAGCTGTCGCTAGGGTGATACAAGGGGCTGTCGGGATGCGCGAACGACACGTCGGACAGTCTGCGATCGTCCGAAGACGCCGATGGCCGCGGAGACTCCATCAAGTGGCCGAAAAGTGCGCGTGTCGCGGTTAGAAATGGCGCGATATGAGACTTGATTGGCCGTTTTTTCCCGCCAGAAATGGACCAAAAATAGACTGAGTGATGGTCTTTGCATTGACGTTTTAATTTTCGGAAATCACAGTATCATAGTTGTGATTGGTCAATATTTAAAACGCATCTTATCCGAAAGTGATGGTTGATCAGTTGAAGTTAGCAGGAGTGATGGTCTTTGAGGCCATTTTTAGCAGCCGCAGCATGTTGCCACTTTTGCCTTGTCATTTTGCAAGGCGCGTATGGAGAGCTCGACGCCTTTAGAACAAGATTTCCGAGCATTGGCTGGCGTTTTGACAAGCTCGGATTGCGTAGCTGTGTGGCCTACAGCCGGTGAAGGTTTGGTGGGTGAGTTCCAGGTACTGGTGGAGGAGGAATGGCAGCAATTGCTACGTCATGGACTCCACCTCGTCTCGGATGCCGAAGTGAAGGAGCTCTATTGCCTCCAAAACGTCCCAGGGTATGCTGAGCTGGTGGTGCGCGTGTTTCGACTGGTTCAAGAGCCTTTTCCTCGAAGGGGGGTCTGGCAACTGCAGGAGCTACCTGGAACAAGGCAAATAATAAAGACGAAGAGCGAGTTGTCAAGAAGCGATTCAACTGCGGGGGACTCGCTACCTAGGTCAGGAAATGGTTCCAAAGCGTGGACTATTTCTCCGGCGAAAATGCAGAGAAAACGACGCCAAAACAGTGATTCTGAGGATCGCGTTGCTAGTTCGAACAAATCAAACGATGAGGTTCGACCACCAACGAAAACTCGTCGAGTGAGTCCTGAAAAAAAGGACAGGGCTGCGCCTGTTGCTCTGATATCCGACAATTGTGACAGCGTTGGCAACACAGCAAGATCTCGGCGATCAGGGCAATCAGATGCTGCTAATAAACGTCATGAACTTCGCGCTGCTGATGCCGCTCGTGCGCTTGGCTTGTTGCATCAAAGTGATACCGTAGCGTATGCTGATGGTACTGGTCTCGATCAGACAAGGTATGAATCGCTCAACCGAGCTCGAGTGGTATCGCTATCTGCCAGAGGAACGGAATCGCTTTGGTCAGCTCTGGAGAGTGCCTCGACACGAGTCCTCAAGTTGCTCAGTAATGGCTTATTTTCGGTGGTTATGGGGATCAAGACTCAGGATTCATTCGACTACGATTTATTATGGATCGAAGAAGACGACAGACACTGCTGGACGATGTTCGGCGAACCGAGGATCCCTTAGTGAGAAAATTAGCAACAAGCGGATTAACAGACTGTCGTAGACGTCCTGGTAACTAAAGATAGAGAAGAACAAAATACAAGTTGCTTTCCACCCAGCACATTCGTTTCTTGGTGACTATGGCCGAAGTTTTCACCAAAGACACCACAGATATCGACTCCAAAGCCCCCGATGAACCAAGTCTTGAAGCCCAGCGTGATGTCCTTCTGGATGAATTCCATGAAAATCAATTAGCTCGACACCATCCGAGCTCAGATTCTGGAATGAAAACATTTGCTACTCCTGGATTTCTCGAATGTGACTGCGCTTCTGCCACCAAGAGAGGTCGATACAACGAGATCGTTTGCGGGGCCCACAAGTTGACGCTACGGAACTCACGACCACACCTGGAGTCAATCGAGTTCTCCCAGAAACTCGCTTCACTTGCAGAACAAAACTCGCCGTTGTCAAAGTCGATGACACTGCTACCTTCAAGACGTGCTGCAATTGAATCATCAGGTGAAGAATTGGATTCAGTGCTGCTGAGAGCTTCTAAAAGCACAAGTTCTCTTCGCCAACAACACAACTTTACTACCGAGCCTAGTATTTCGTTGTTACCTTCACTACACCCGAAGACCACGATACGCCCGCATACTGATGGTGGAGTTGTAGAAAACGTTAGTGAACGTAAAACTAGTTTCTCGCTTACATCGCTGGCGCTTGACGCTCCAACGACACTTCCACTAGAGGAAGCTCAGAAGATGCTCGAACTGTACAACAAAATCATTCGTTTAAATGCTGAAACTCGAAAGAACATGGGGATCATGTACACACGACGATCAACGCTGTTGGCAGCAATGGGAGATTATTCAGCAGCGTTGCAAGATGCAGAACAGGTAGTGTTCTTGGATCCAAAGTCGACCGTTGTACGTGAATTATCTTTCTGTCAATAATCTGCGTCTACGTGAGCGTAACTTGTGTAATTGGGTACTGCAGGGATACTATCGCAAAGGCTGTGCACTGTGTGGTCTTGGTCGGTTTGCAGAGGCAAGCAGAGCCTTTCAGCAAGGACTAGCGTTCGATGTCAACTGTCGATACCTGCACCATGGACTTCAACTAGCTCTCAACCATTCACGGTATAATTACTAGGCAAGCAAAACACAAATGTACTAACTGGTGCAGAAATTATTATCAACCAACACTAATGTCACGTCCCTAGCAAAGGTAGGATTGGTGAGCCCAGTCGGGCATCCGCATCGATGGTAGTTTGCTTTTGAACTCATTGTCAGTCAATCGTTCATCAATCGGTGTCACGAACTCGTAGCTGCTGAACACTGGACCAGCATACATAACCTTGTCCACGACGAAAAACGCCATTAGCGGATTGCCGACGCCGAGATGCAGCACACCTCCTTTATCGCCATGAATAGTTGATGGCGAGTCTGTATGGACGTCCGCCACGATCACGTCGCTCTTGCCTGAATCTTCCCGACTTTCGAAGAATAACCCAGGGTACCAACCGCAGTACCTCGATCCTCCACTTCCAAATCGCTCTTCCATAACCGTCCTCAAGAAATTCACTTGACTCTCGCCCAAGGGTCTGTGCTCAGCTTGGAGAACTGCGATCTCTTCAATTGATTGCATTGTTTCCGCAAAACAACGAAAAAAACGTCGAGCTTCGAGGTACTTGCTATCTGTCTGATGCGACCCGAAATCAAGCTGGCTTGGCTGTCGTGATTGGTCATACGAAAACTCGACCAATGGACTCAGTTCTCTCTCAATCATCATTTCCATTTGCTTGGCTAGTTTTCCCATGCGCTGCCAGAAGAGGGGGTACGGGTCCACCATTCCGTCTGCGTATTCACAGCCGCACACAAACGTGTATCCTTGTTTCGCGTACAGTAAAGTGTCGTGGCGTAACTGAGTAAATGATGCCAGCTGCGTATTCAATTGACGTTTCTGCCAGACATTCGAATGAAATGTACCAGCGGCATTCGGAGACGGTCTCGACAACGCTCGCAGTGCTCGCTGCCATAGCATACTAATGCTAGTCTTTTCATCTGGAGAATCTTCACTAATGTCTCCTTCATCGTCAAATTCTCGGTCGATAACTTGACGAAGTGCAACAAGATTTGACGAGTATTGAATGCCATCTCGGAACGGAACAAACTCTGGAAATCGTTGCGGATTAGCATTCATTCGATCGGCGAGCACTTGAGCTGCACTGTCATTGCCAAACAACGTGAAAGCGATATCCACAGCACTCGGAATGCGTCGTTTTTGCTTTTCATCATTGTGAATCACGTGATCAAAAACTAGTCTCGAAAAGATGAATGAACTCCAGACAAATCGTTGTCCTAATAGCGCGAAGGAACTGGGTAGAGACATTGGTGTCGTTGAGGTTGGAGGTTGATTCTCGACGCGTGGGTGGCCATTGATCAGTTGAGCTCCGAGTCGCTTTTCGAGAATCCGATTCTGAATACTCTTCAACATCGAAAGTGTTTCTTTGTCATCATCAGTAAAAAGTGTTTCTTTCGGTAATAATCGTAAAAGCTGAGATGGTGAAAGCGAGTCGGCTCCCATTCCTCCATCAGCCACGAGACTGGAAATCAACGCGTCAACCTTCTCAACAATCTTCAAAGCTTGTGAGTCACGTAGGAAGTGCACCAACATGACCGCGCAGTGCAGTTGGTAAAGATCTTCTTCTGGTTTTTCACCACCAGCAACGCGGAAATCGATCGTTCCAAGCCACATCATAGCGCGGAAGTAGCGCATCAGCTCCTCGGAGTTTGTGTAATGTCCGCGAGGTTTGAACTGCGAGAAGTCAACGATCCGTTTTGATGACAATATATCCGCCTCCTTGGTTTCTTCTGAATAAACAAAAGCCAGTAAACGTTCCAGTTCGATAGTATTCTCAGTGACACCGTCGACTAGCTCCCCTCTTAAGAGACTTAGCCCCACTCGGAGGAATAATTCCACATCTACCATCACTCTTCTTGCTTCTGAGTCATCTTTTGAAGTAGCAATGATAGCCTCGCAGCATTTCGACAGTGTGGATTCAAGGATTTTATCCAGTGTGGGGGATAATATCTGAATTTCCGTATCCACGAGAAAAGCGTCAAAACTGCGGTGCCATGCATGCAAAATCGAGTCAGCCGTCACGAATACCGGCATGTCATCTGTGTACAGTCGATAGTAGATATCCGCGAAGCTCTCAGCTGGCATGCGTTCCACTGCAACGACTCCATTGGCCTCTAGGTTGGCCTTCTCGTCTGGTTTAAGACGGTAGTCAGTGGTTTGCATCCTCTTTAGCGGGTGGTGCGTCGTTGACGTCAGGATCTGATCCACAAATGAAGCTCCATGTTGTTGCTTTGCTTCGTTACGCAGACGTTCAGTATCCCCGCGAGCTTTCATGGGATCCGCAGCGAAAAGATCGAAGAATTTGCAGTCTTCCAGCTTGACTGGCGCGTCAGTTTCTTGAGCACATGACACTGGGTAGAGCTTCACTAGATCCTCAGACGTCAGCTGCGTACCGACCCGTTCCAATGTCGCGGCGAATGCAGCTCCAACGTCACCTCCACCCATTGTCGTGGCCCAATAGGTCTGGATCTTGCGTGGCGAAATCTGAAATAAGGAGCTGGGCCTCTCCAAAAAAATGGGTTCAGAGTTTTCAACCCAGTTTCATTGCAAATCTGCGTCTGCAAATTATCGCTGCAAGCGGCAATACCAATGAACCAGTCTTCAGCAAACCACGAATTCAATTGTACAGTCTTCGCCTACAAGCCGGTCTGTCCTTCGTCTGTACTGGACTGCAGATCCTCCTATGCAGAGTTCGCCCCCCACATGAAGAAGACTAGAAGGACACTAATAACTGTATATCACGTTATCGTGGTGATGTTCAACTCTTCCTGCTGCTCACAATACGGCAGTGTATTCAACAAAGAGTATAGTCCCTTAGATGCTAACCTGCCCCATCGTAATCAGACCAAAATGCTGCCTACTAAGCAATTCCTATATTTCTTCCACGCGTCCCGAGTAGTCTGCGAACATGTCCCTCTTGCCCTGTGCGCGTGCTTTTGCATCGGCTTCTGCGTGTCAGAACCAAGGACGTTAACAACATTATGACCACAAAACCATACCAAGCAACTGGAACCAACCATTAGATCCGTTGCCTTGTGAGGGCTGGAATGAGTAGTGTGGCGGGTTCGGCGGCGTCTGTCGCGATGGTCGATGTGGCGTTGGGGACGGCGGGCGCACCGGCATCCGCTCAAATTCTCTCTCTAGACCTTCAAACGGGTTCGAGTCGCCTCTCCACAAGCCGCCACCAAAGAATTCTGCAAAACCAAATCCACAGTATGAGTCTCATTCCGGCTTCCACCTCGTGAAAACATGCTCAATTACCTTCAAAAGGACGCAGCATTTCTTGTCTTAAAAAGTCGAACGGGCTCATTTGTGCTTCAAAATCGTCACCTCTTCTCCAATAGCAACACAAAATGAGTTCATCAATTCTCAATTACCACCTCTCACGTGGACCAAATGCACAAACCGTCGCTGGAAAAACGTGCCAAACTCCTGTTCGCCTCTGTGCAAATCGAGAAATATCCGGTTAAAAATGCCAATTGACACACACTCTCAACATTGAATTGCCACGTACCCTTTGCGTGGGTCCATCCTCTCCCTGTTGAAAAAGTCTCCAGCCGTGGCCTCGCCCCCGTGTTCATCTTCCGTGATCTCCTTGCGGTTCGAGATGAGCTCCTTGCGTGCGTTGGGGCACTGGCGGAAGATTTTCTTAATGATCTCGCACTTACTGTCGCCGTTAATGGACCTGCATGATTGCGACAGTGCCGTCGAGTAGAAGCAGCCCGGGTTGGCCTCACGGTCCTGCTGGATCAACTCCTGCTCCTCGTCACTCAGCGTTGCCATCTCACTCTGCAATTGTCAAACTGCCAGAAGACGTTCTGGAATAAATAAAATGATGTGCACCACGTGAGTTTTACCAACATTGTGAGAGAAACATAGATAATTCAGCTTCAACGACACTCACTCTCGGTGAGCGTTGCTCTGTTCCAGCGACGAATCTGGTGCGGTCGGATAAACAATGTGGCAGTAGCTACCTGGGAATCGGTGAAGCTCTGCAATACCCAGTGGAGCTGGTGTTTCGTGTTAATCGATGGCTGCCAACGTGCATTGAGCGGGTGAATTTGCTATCCCATCCTTTTAAAGTACCTACAAGATTTTTTTTTACTTCGGCTGGTAACGATGGCAACATTGAAGTGACGTTTCACCAACTTGGGTTTGTGTGACGGGGTCACACAGCACCTTGTGCAGAGGAAGTTTATTTCCTCTAGAGTATACAAACTCTAAGTGAACGACCGTTCACGTGTCCCTGGTCT